CTTTTAGAATTTTTGTTAGAAAACTATGTAGTATCTATAAACAAAAAATCATTGAAATCGGAAGGGGACATCTAAGGCAGTTTCCTCATAAGTGATTTTTGCTGAAAGCGAACCTCTGTATAGTGGATATCTTTATATAGTTCTATGATGAATACTTGGAAAAGTTTCAATTATCTCGATGACATGAAAATTTGACTATATTTTAACAATTGTTAATTTTCTAAGAACAAAAATGCATGAAAAGACAAGTAAAAATTAACAATAGTTAATTTTTTATTCAGTAACACTCTGCAGATATCTAGAAAAAACCTCTGTTCTTTGTATAAAAAAACTGCTATTAGAAAAGACCTAACCTTCTTTTAGTAGACATTCTCCGAGCTTTTCAAAAGTGTCCACTTTAGAGAGACTATACTGTATATTGTTTTTAGAACGAATTTTTTATGAATTACGATGTCATTGTTATAAAGCAAGAGCATTAATTGCTGCGGATGCAACAGGTTTATCAGATCCTTATTTAAGTATTACAGTTGGTAATGAAACACAAACAACTCCAGTAAATCATTTTATGTTCGTGATTTGTTTTGTTAATTTCTTTTTTTTTGCATAGATTCTCTTGGAATCATTATGTCCACAATGGAATATAACGTTAGCTTTTCAAAATTTGGTGCATGTTGGAACTCGAGAAACAGCTGAGGAAATTATTGGAAATGTTGTTGTCGAATGTTATGATTCTGATGAAGTAAGTAGACAGTTTAAAAGTGAAAAAAGTATGTCAATAGTGTGACAATATCAATGTGGAAGTTAAAGACTGATCAAGTTATAAGTTGAGTCATAACTTTTGAGTTATAACTAATCAAGTTTTCGGTTCAAAAGTTAATTAATTTATAAGCATCAATCGTAATTGTAACTTTCGACCTGAGCTATAACTACCAATGAGTTTAACTCGATTAAGGTTTTGAGAAGATTTAATTAATTTGATTTAATTGACGTGTTTGATAAAATAAATTAGAATATATGTATTTCATTGTTCTTTACTTTAAAAAATTAGTATTTATAGATTATTCTCTGAAAGTTTTTTTCACGTATTCGTCTAAAGGTCTCGTTTGCTCATATTTATATGTCGAGTGTGAATGCATGCGTCATACAATATATTTTTCATTATATGACCAATGATAAACTTTAAAATGTGAGCGGCTAAAGAATAGTATTTAGAAACTGAAATTACTGTATTCTATTACTTGTTCTCTAAAATGGTAATCATCTTCAATAGATGGTGGTCCATAAGTAAGGTAACATAGGTTTTTTCTCGGTTTGTTTCTAATATATTTTCAGTTCGGTCTCATATTTTTACTACATATACTGGTTCATATAACCCAAAGAATCACTATTGGACCAATGTCTAAGTGTAATCGTTCTTTCAAAAATGCATCAATACACGATAACCAAAAAAGTGACATGTCTATGTTCTAATAAAACCTTTATCAATGCAATAGAGCAAGAAAACGATACACACAAAAGTAGATCTTTGTGAAGTATTGTCAATATGAAATTTTTCATAATAGTTGCTCAATATGCTTGTCCTCTAAGTCTTTGAAAAGTTTTAGTCTCTCAGATACTGATTGACAAGCTCTTTGATATAACTCTACAGACTAGCTTTGTATTCTGTAATAATAGCATCCTTGAGTGCTTGAATATTTTTAGGTTTCGTGTTATACCACTTCACAATTTCAATCCTTTCAGATAAAGACAATCAGATCGGAAACGTTAACTTATCGTTCAAAAGTCGGAAACACTATTAGAACTGTGTACATAGAATGAAAAATGCAATGAGAAAAAGAACTGAATCCTCTGATAGCAGAGATGACTAGTTGTGTTGTTGTCTGCGAGGTGCCACCAGTAGCACATTTATAAATACTAGCAGAAGAGACAGAATAATATAGATGTACTTACATATGTTACGGAAGGAAAACCTATAACTGTCAAAATATGCCACTTTTTTTGGTTGTCGTGTATTGATGCGTTTTTGAAAAAAAATTATTAAACTTAAATATCATTCCAATGGTGAATCATTGAGTCGTATGATCTAGTATATGTGGTAGAAATATGAAATTGAACTGAAAATATATTAGAAACAAACTGAGGAAAAAATTATGTTACCTTACTTATGGACCACCCTGTATATGTTGCAACCAAATTTAGATAACGCTTTCTATAGGTGTAATCATGTATATTTTATTTCAACATGAAATAACTATATCAAGTTATTCTCAGTTCATTTGTATATGTTCATCACTACATTTAGCAGTATATAGATTGTTCTGCTGTTCTTGCTCCGTATTATATCGATAAACGTGAGAAGAGAATATGCAATACTTGTTTTCTTACAAGTTAAACATAGAGAGAAATGCTTCCTACATTATTTAGAAGAGTAAAGTGAACGGTGGCTCGTTGGTGCCTGATGTGAGTCCACCTTCAGGATCATTCCATGTCCGATAGTGCCGAGGTTCGAACACAGTACCTGAATAGTACGTGCCAAACAGCTTAACTATTCAGCCACAATGGCTTTAATAAATAATCAAACTCGAAGGTTAAGCGAAAGCAGTTGATGTGACTGGTAGAGACGGTTTTAGTACGCT